CATACAAGGCCAAATTGTAAACAAAGAATTTTTAGAATGAATTTATTTATTAATCTGGTAGATTTTTAACACTTTACAACGTTATTTTTAGTGGATACTCGTATTTGAGTATAATGATAATATTACTACTGCTACTATTACGATTACTACTGGCTCTGTTATTTGGTATTTATATACATTTATTCCTTGTGATGTTGTCGGTACGAGTGAGTGAGATGCATATAATCTGGACAGCGCACAGCCTTTATATACCATCGCCCAGGCCTGCGTCCTGGAGAGGTCATTCTAGTCACATCACCAAAGGGCTGAATTTTGACCAATATCTTTATCTCGCGAGACAATCGGAGGCCTACACTACTGTTATTATTACTACTACTAATACTTTTCTAATTAGTATTACTACTGCTTTTATTACTATTATCAATACTACTTTTACTATTATAATTCTATGCTTACTAATACTACTACTACTATTATTATAAGTTTTTTTATGTGGGTTGCACAACGGAAAACTTAAATAAAAGATTTAATGATCACATGTATGATGTTAGACACAACAATGTGACATCGACAGAGCTTGCGGGACATTTTATTACAAACGACTGTCATTTCGACGAACCTCTCAAGGTGCACATTCTGAAAAATATATTCAGAATTCACCGACCTTTCGACTCTTAAAATACATGAGGATAGTTACATATTCAAACTATTAACTTCCTGCCCCGGAAGAGTTCTATATAACTTATGATAAACTGATTAATTAGTAACTAAGCAACTAACAGAAAATTTCAAGATGAGCCTGATCACCGTCATATTACGCACGATTCAGTTGCATGCCATTCACGCTGGTTGCGTTTCGTTCGGTTTGACGCTTTCCTTGAGAAAAAAAAAACGGTTGTACTAGTAATCAACGTGACAAAGAGAATGAAACGCAGCCAGCATAATGGAATGCAACTGAAATGTGAGTAACATGATAGGGATCATACACATCTTGTAAATGTTAGAATTTCGAATGCTGATTTTAATGTAAAAGTAAGACAGGTCGTACCCACTTGGAAAACCAAATCAATTTACCTCTTATTTCTAATGCTGCGCATCTGGTCTCTAAGTTGAGCATAGTAGGGCTTTACTTACACGCTCACGCCAAAACAGAATGTGACATAAAGTCAAGTTTAAGGTAGAGTTTCGGACAGCCATTAAAAAATCTGCTCAACCTCCCATCGGTACTTCCCCTTTTGCGGGTGCCTCAGGCATCCCCTTCCGAAGAAGTGAGGGTAAGCTTAGTAAATGATAACACATACGTCAAGTTAAATATTAATGGATATTATTCGTCAGTCATGTATTGAAAGATACAAGATCACCTAAGCGTGTATCACGCATGGCACATAACTGACTGGGGGTTTTCTTGGAAAATCTGACCCTCACAGGACATACTGAAGACAAAAGAAAAGAGTACCCTACCTAGCGAGTTTGTGTAAATGGAGGTAAGAACAGGTTTTTTTTAGGAGAGATAACAAAAAGATAAAATTTACTAATAGCTACAAAGGACAGGAAATTGTGGAGAGCCATGATCACTAACGTCCTGAAGGAGCATGGCACATAGAAAAAAAAATGCGATATCGGTGTTGTACGTAATGTACAACCTTGTAAATAAGTGATAGATAATTTAATTAAAAGTAAAATATTCGTTACTCAGCTAGCTGTCTATAAAATTTAAAATTAAACATTTCCTTTCTAATGAGACTATAAATGGCTGGGAGAACAGGGTTTACGACTACGAGAGATAGCGAGAAGACAAAGTTTACTTAGAGCTACAAAGAACAAGAAGAAATAGTGGAGATACATAAACGCCGAATCCAGAAGGGTCACGGCACATAGAAGAGGACTTCCTATCAGCTTCGTTAAATGGCCCTAAGCAAACGAACAAAACATTAGAATTAGAGATCTAATTGCAAATTCTACTTAGAATGACTGTCAGCTGAGACATGAACTATGTATACAATTTTTTCAATGTTATAAAAATAAAATTCCACCGATTGGTACAACTATATAATAGTCTTTATAAACCCCCACTTAACATATACAAATATTCATTTTCCTATTACAAATTTGAATTATAGATACAATAAATTTTGACAGGTATCTTCAAGCATTAAATAATCGTCCATGCATGCAGGGAATACCTTATTCATGCCTGTTCATACGAGACACATGTATAAGGACGACAGTGAAATTAAGAAAAAAAAAAACATTTTTTTTTAAAAGGTGAAGTTGTGCGATCGGCAATTAAGGCCAGAAATAACTTTCTTTTTCAATTCTTTTTTTTTTTTTTTCATATTGCTATAAAGAATAAGCACACAAGTTCCTGACTACTACTACCAATAATAATAATAATAATAATAATAATAATAATAAAATAATTAAATTTGATAAAATTAATTGGGGTTCAGTTTGTTATGTAAACTGATCCCCCCCACCTGCTACCAGAAATCAAAATAAA